TATAATGCCAATCTCTGTCCTTCATTTTAAGCAGTTCATCACATAACAAAGTACAAAGTAACAAATCTACTCGGGTACAAGCATAATTACTACACCCCATCAAGGATGAGCAGTAAGCTGTCCTAATTTATGATGTATTCTAACTAGTTCAAAGAACAGAAAAAAAAAAGACTCAAGCAAACGTAACCATTAAAAGACTCACTGTCCAAATATTTTGTTGCTGTCATTACAGCTGGATTGATGTCTTGTGCAATTTAGGATGCAACACTTTTTATCCCTCACCCCAAATTCTGCATTAAAGAAGAGAGTTAAAAAGCTTATGTATGAGATCATACCTGCACATTATCTGAAGACAGGCAGACACTATTCCTCTTGCATTATTTCTAAAGGCTCAGGAAGAACCTACTTTACCTTGGCCACATGTCCCAGTATCTGCTATCCTCAAAAGTTCTGTGCAGATGAGCTGCTTAAAGAGCAGCTTCCCACACTGCGATATTTTAATGACAGAAATCACACTAGGTCATACCACCTGTAGTAAAGTGATGGTAGCAGCATCTCTTATTAGGCAACACTGCGTGAAGACTGCTTTTGCCTTCAATCAAAATGAACTATTCTTCAAGAAGCTTCATCTTATTATCTTAATTATTATTTCATCTTCTTGCCAAGTAGTGACAATTCCCCATGCTGAGGAAAAATGACACCCTAGGCAATCATCCACAGCACTGTAAAATGCACATGCTACCTAACTATAAGTAGGGGCTTTTTCAGGTTTGTAGACAAGACCTCCCTTTTAAACTCTAAAATCTTTTAAGAAGCCTTTTAACAAAGACACAGTAGCAACATTCCATTCTCAGATTTCTGTCAGAGGTTCAGATTGGACTCCAGCACTCCCCCAAGTCAGATTCACAAGTCCGTGCAAATAGCCTTCAACTATACACACTGAGTTACAAGAGACCAAGAAATGTTCTTTAATATGGCTGTACACCTCAAGCATCTAAATCAGGATGAGAGATCTCATTTAATGTTGCTTTGTATGTGTTAAACATGAACATCAAATGTCACACCACCTTGGGAAGGAAAACTCAGCGTTTCTAATACTATTTCTTCAAAGGGCATTGAGTACCTTCAAGTAACCAATAACTGCCAAGCACCAGTTAGCAGCGTAGTCAAAGTAAAGTAAATGCTATTTTAAAGATTATCCACCCCCTTTATTCCTCCCTCACCTTCTTAAAAAAAAGACAATATACACATACATTGCAAATAAGGGACTATACAGCCCCAAATTTGTATCACTAGCCTGACCCCACATTTCCAAAAGAAGGTAAGTTCTAAATTTAGTCTCTGAGCAGTTCCATAGATTTCAGAATATTCATTGGTATCTTTTCATAAATATGTTTCTCTGCATTAGCTATCATCACTCCATTAAAAAAGTTAGCAACCACTGCTATATGACATTCCCCCAAATCCTACAAAAACCACATTATGGTGATATTGAATAAACCAGACAGAGCCTAACACAGTAACAGTTCCCACAAGTTAATGAGTAACCACAGCAGGTAATGCAGAAACAATACAACCAGCCAAGAAGTGAAAATACCTTGCAAAAGTGGAAAAAGTAGCAGACTGCAAGATCTGTACTTAAGCTATTTTTACACTGACAACATGCAAAAATAATTTTCCATATGTTCTAATGCAGATACATACAAGGTGTTTAACTTCCCTGTAGACAAGGCAACCCTGAGTTTTTCTGCCAGGTTCACGACCCTCATCGGGTCAAAGGAGGTGATCCTGCCCCTCTACTCAGCCCTGGTGAGGCCGCATCTGGAGTATTGTGTCCAGTTCTGGGCCCCATAGTACAAGAGGGATGTAGAGCAGCTGGAGAGAGTCCAACGCAGGGCTACGAGGACGATCAGAGGCCTGGAACATCTGCCCTATGAGGAGAGGCTGAGGGAGCTGGGCCTGTTCAGCCTGGAGAAGAGAAGGCTGAGAGGAGACCTGATCAGTGTATGTAAGTACCTCAAGGGAGGCAGCGAGGAGGATGGGGCTGGACTCTTTTCACTGGTGGCCACCGACAGAACTAGAGGTAATGGCCACAAACTGCAGCATCCAAAGTTCCACAGGAACTTAAGGAAAAAAAATTTAACAGTGAGGGTGACAGAGCGCTGGAACAGACTGCCCAGAGAGGTTGTGGAGTCTCCTTCTCTGGAGATCTTCAAAACCCGCTTGGACGCAGTCCTGTGCCACGTGCTCTAGGTGACCCTGCATGTGCAGGGGAGTTGGACTAGATGACCTCTAGAAGTCCCTTCCAACCTTAAGCATTCTATGGTTCTATGATTCTAAGAACCCATAGGTCTAGCAGCAGTTCACTTAAGCCCATGTGAAAGCTGGCTGCCATTTTCACTCATGGACATGAATGCTTGGTACAATTTGTCTTGGAAGAAGTCTGTGAGCTAGACTAGATTCATATTTAGAATTCAGTCAACATATCAGAAGGATCCAAGCAAGACAAAGGCATGAAAGCCTCCAAGAAAAGCAGAAAAACTGTTGAAAATGTTAGGAGGAAGCACAGAGTTTAAACTCACTATATTCACATCAGAGACAAAGGGATTTATAAATAATAGTTATATATAACAGATAAAAAGAGTTTAACTTGCATGCCACTCTTGTCTACAAGAGACAGAAATGTTTTAGTGTAAATATGCCAATGCAAACACACAAGGAAGCTGAGGGAGCATGTGGGAGGCGGCAGCAAAGGGACAAGCAATAAATTGGACTAGTCAGTAAATGGTAGATCCAGCAACACAGAGTAACAGGAGTTTTTATTTGCCAGCCAGATGCTACATCTAATCCAACAAAGGGACAGAAGACTCCAATTATCTAATTCCACATCATGCACACCAAAGATCACTTCACTTTGGGCCCATCCTCCAAAGATGTATGAAAAAGCAGCCAGAAAGCTAACACTGGTCATGGCACCTGCCTTCACTGTTGTTCTACCACATGCCAGTGGCACAGTATGTAACTTGGCACCATTTAAGGAATGCAGAAAGCAATCAACCACCCAAGCAGGAACCACTAAATGGCAAGAAGCTTCATACCTAAATCCTTTGCAAACTCCAGTGCCTAAAGGGATGCGAAGCATACAAAGAATATCATTCAAGGGATGATAAGCATCAGTAAAGTTCTTTTTGTGCTATCTTAAATAGTTGAAAAGACAGATCTGCACCTGTTCTTTGTTTCTTCACAGTTAATTGGAGTTTTAAGTATATTTATAAAAATATTTCTATTTACTTCTCCCATTAAAAAGACAAGTTAGTCTATTACAATTATATACATAAACAGTTGGTCATACTACTTAAACTCCAGGAATATAGAGCAATTGTCCTGGTTGCAGTTTGTTCTGGAACATGAGCAACACTAGAAGCAAAAGACCTGAGGACTTGAGGTCAGCGAGGCAATAGTTATCATGCGAAAGTTGTATAGCCAGTTCTCTAGCAGAGGCAGCTTTAACAGTGCCCAGTGTTAAAGTCTAAATAAATTCAAGAAAAAAAAGAATCAGAGAGAGAAGGTAAAAAGTTGCAAAACAAAGTTGACAAACAAACACAGGATTCCACAAGCCACACAACTGGAGATCTGTACTTTTGGAGCACCTAATCATGTTCCTTACAATTTGGCTTCTGATAACTAGTCAGTCCGCAAGGTGACGGGAGAGAGCACTTTCAGTCCCTCACAGTTTGTGACTAAGTTCTTCATTGCACATAAGATATTGGTCAGAGGAACACTTCAGTCCTCCTCCTCTTCCTGCAGCTGCTGAGTTTTCTCCATCCCAGCAGGCGTGTTTCCATAGCAACAGCAATTCTTATTCTTCAGCTCAGTTGTGTTCACTGCAGTTGGGTTTTTGAAGAGTTAAAATGGAGTAAAACCACACTTCTGTCAAATTCAAACTATACCTTACACCTAGGTCAGACCATGAAGATACACATACTCTTCTCAAGTCCTCTTTCACAGAATCATTACAGTTGGAAAAGACCTTGAAGATCATCAAGTCCAACTGTAACACCATCAACACCATGCCTGTTAAACCACGTCCCTAAGCACCTCACCTACGTGTTTCTTGTCCCTGCCAAGGACAG